GAATCTAAAATTTACTGCGTTTTGATCGATGTTAAATGAGAATTGAATCTCACGCTAATGGTACAACAATCAGCTTCTTACAGATATAAAATATCAAATTAATTAGATGTTTATTTTACAATGAGCTGTTGCCCCCGAATTATATAAAAATAATAAGTGTTATAGCATATAGCAAGCATATGAGTTCCAGACTGTTCTACATCTATGCAAAATTCTACTAAGGTGATATGTTTTGTGAAAACATTACTTATTCTTTTATGACTTTTAAGCTGAGTTGGAAACCATTGGTATGACTAATTGAATATTTCATAGGAAACAAACATCTAACCACAACAGAAGTATTTTGTTGCACAAGATTTAAAAACTGAAGTCTCTACTCGCAATTCGAACTTTCTTATTTATTCGATGTTACTTTATAGAATAAACAAATGTCTGAAGACCATTAATCAACTATGACTTATTTACATTCAGTTCACAACTGACTCTTAGAAATGCTTAGTGGCATCGCACTTCGCTTTGTAAATCGTGTTCTTTGCATTTCAAACGCTCAAAGGGTGCACAATTAGGTATTATTTATAGCAAATTGTCTCAGTAAAATGTGCTTTTACTCCTTAACATTCATGTTACATTTCATGTTACAAGTAAACATTATATTAACATCTATAATCTTACTAATATTATAAATGCGATTTACATAGATGGATGGAACGGCAAAAAGGATCTACATTATATTTGATTTGATATAGAACATAGTCTGGAAGAACACATAGGCTAATTAATAAGTTTTATTTAGTTCCGCGCAGACGGAATCGAGAGCGACAGCTAGTTAGAAATAAAGTATAAAAGACGTTGAAAAAGACGCTTATTTGTGATCTAGGTCGCAATGGATCGTATATTCTTACCGCGAAAAACTTTTTCTTCATGTCTTATGAATGACATTTTTGTTGTGAATAAACGTGCGAATTAGCTTTGTATTAGGTATAGCTGTATGTTTATTAATATCATGTGTTCACAAAAGATTTTACGGAAAACGGGCAACCTGAATGTACGTTGGTTATACGTCCGTGCCACGTTTCAGAGCGGCCGCAGCAATCAAAGTTGTAATTAGCAGCTAGTGAAACAGCAAATTAAACGTCCTTTCATGTGACAAATTTACGTTGGAGCCCGCATCGTGTGGCCCTGGTCCGTACCCCTTCTGTGCCCGGAATCACACGTCAATGAGGCGTGCACAACGAATTTCTAATTAAGTCACCGATTATTTTGTACCACAGTAATTACGGAATAAAATTACCTATCAATACATGAATCTGGATAATATATTTTGGGCGTTTTTGTTAGAATTCTTTTTAATTAACGCAGTTTGTTTACTATAATTTAGGTTTGAAATGTAATCAAGTTAACTGCAAATTAAAACAAAAAACTACCAATCACTTATCAAACTGATCAATGTTGTTAGTGATTTTATGGATTTAAACGACAAGGATATTTGAAATATATTATAGTAATTACATTTTTTTTAATGAAAATTAAAAAAAAGTAGAACGAACATTATCTTCAACTTTTACAAACAATAACTTAAGTTGTGTGATGGAGAGAACCTTTAAATAAATCTATTCATAAATACTTTAACGTTAACAGAATAGTGGGTGGATATCAGTCACGAACTGAACCTACAAACATAATGAGCTACTCTCGGAAATTAAAAAAAAGTTTTATGTACTTTTCGTGACAAAGTTTGTAGTTTATTCCATTAGCTTGTTTAAGAGCTAATTAATTCCTAATCCTCTATAGCTTTTTTTTATTTATAAAAGGCATTTTGTTTTATTTAGGTCATATTTTAAAATCGTCCATTATTCTATTTATTATATTCACTAACGGTATAAAATTCTACATTCCGTTTAAATTAATGATCAGATGTAGATTATTTGTGTTTGATGGACGCGAGATCAAATCAACGCTCTATCGTTAAAATTTGAGGCGTAAAATTATTCCAATACCATTCTAAGCGAATGAATAAATTATGAAGTCGTGATCGCTTGCACAATCCTCTTATTACCGAGAAACAGTTAATGCACAGTAGTTAATAATTTAACTTGATTTGTTGATCCAGTTTAGAATAGTCTTCGTATATCGTGTCTAATGCAAGCCCTTAACCATAGCAAATTGAATATTATTAGGTGGCAAACGAGCCAGTGGTCAACGGTTTTCGCCGGAATAGCGCCATAGACATCCGCATTTGCTGACGAGTCTGCCTACCTTTAATGGACTAAGGAGGTGACGCATTGAAAAATAATGTTGAGAATATTTCTCCTTCCTATACATACCCACCTTTCTATTTTTTTCTTATAAGAAAAGGATGGGAAGGAAAAGCTAAAACTCATTAATTCCAAATTGTAGTACCTCTAGCAACACTTAGTTTACGAAATCACCCTAATTTTATGTCACATATTTATTTTACAAAATAACTGAAAAAAGTTATATATTGTAAAGATTTCGTCATTGGATCGAAGCGTCAGTTTGAACAACAGGTGTTAAGTACAGTGAATGTAGCAATTTCAAAATTAGAATTGAGGAACGAATTCCAAAATTAAATTTCCATTTCTCCGATCGGGTGTTTGTGTCGCATAATTACGTGTTTTGCGGGTGTAAATTAAGCGGGTAATTAAACAGTCAATTTCGAATCAGTAAATGATAATTACTACGAATATTTATGGATAATTAAACCATAGTAGTGATAATAATAAAGGTAATATTATAGGACGTATGTGGCAACAACGCATATGAATGTTAATTATTATATCTTTCTCTATTAAAAGGTAACACTGAAATGACTTCACAAAACCTTATGTTACTTTCAGAAGTAGGGTACCTTCAGAGCATTTAGCCTTAGATGAAACCTAATATACTTCTTCAATGTTTTTTTTTATTATGCTTCCTTTTTTTGCGTTTCTCTGACGAAACACCCGTCAAAATCAATGATATTGTCTTTATTCGTTGCGATTGTAAGAAATCTTTGACACTGTTGTTCTAAACATGCTTTTAGTAACATTGTCTGTGGGTTCCTGAGTCCCCATTTGAATCATATTGTCATCTCTTTGGTCTCAAAGATTATAATAAGGATGACGATATGTTTTATATAGAGATTTCTGTCTCAGAAACCAAAGGTAAGTACTTTTAGTAAACCAATGACACAAAAACCTTGACATTCTACGCCATCATCGTAATTATCAAGTAATCTACTATACGACTGTATTAAGGAGTCCTAAAACACATAGTCTTTGTTGGAACCAAGCTATGTATCCTAAATATAGCATAAATTCATTCCATTTCAACAGCTTAACAGTAATATTGATAAAAAAGTTCAATGCACTCGTTCGGACGATTATTTTCGTAATGCATTAAGATATTGTGGAGCAATAATAAATCAAACAAACAGGAAATAATAACAGCTGAGAATCGACCTTGGAAGTTATCTTCGAACTAAAGTTAAGCTGTACACTAATTGGTTATTATACCAAATCTTACTAATATTATAAAAGTTTAAATGGACGGACAGATGGATGGATGTTTGTTAGAAGGAATCTCCGGCAGAACGGCTGAACGGAATTCGATGAAATTTGGCACAGTTGTAGAACATAGTCTGGAAGATCAGAAGGATAAGTTTTTTTTTAATTCAACGTAGACGAAGTCGCGGGCGACAACTAGTAATGATATAATGCTCGTTGTCTTAGATTGTGTCAGTTGCATCATTTGAAATGCGTATTTTAACATTTTGTTTTTATTATGTTTATTAATTTACGTCAACTATTGAATAAGAAATTCTGAATTCTTGGACAAGATATCAAAAATATATAATATATTTCTAATCAACTTTAAGTCAAAACATAAACATTGATTGAAAGGCGTTTAATAACTCCTGACCTTAAAACATTAAAAATGTACTCGCAACACAATCAACGACCAAATTAACATCTTACGTATCATCGGTGACCCCTAGAGCACTGGCTTACTGACCTGCGGGTCACTTTCCGCTTGTATAATTCTGCATTACGCGTTCCCTCAGCCCTGTTGCATTACATACTTTGCCTTTAAAGAGACAGGACCTATCTAGCCTTTAATGCTCCTCTATCAAATAAAATGGAATAATAAGTTTGCGTTCATAAACATGACAGCATGATATGCACATGTGCGATTATCAGCTTTATGCCTAGTCCATTTTTATATAGTCAAAGATTACATACATTCCGATTCAAGACACTCTATACAATAGAAGTTTCAAACGAGGCCGGATTATAAGAAGCGAGTTTCAAATAATCCTTCGAAGACAAAAAGAAGCTGTCGTTACGGCCGATGAAACTTTTTCAATAACCCGATAACAATGGCCCTTTGGCTTTTTTTTCTTTTTAAGTCATGCTACGCATTGAAATTCTTATAAGATAATGTTGAATGTAGATAAATCTACGTTGATTTATTTTTATAACAGATTACATCACTGATCGTAATTTCCTACACCTAATTAAACCATAGAATATTACCAATGATATATTTTTTGCAACTTCAATTTTATTATGTTTTTTAAAGTTTAATAGAGTTATAAAGAGGTTTTATTTAATTATTATATAACAATATATTTAAAATAAATTTAACTGTAGTAAGTAATTATGAAATGTGTGCATGTTATATGCTTAATTTATTTAACAACGTCAAGATAAATATAATGAAAATTTATATAATTTAGTAACACCAAAAATAAAAGCGTTAATATAAACAAAGACTATAACTATCACCATGGTGCACTTTTCATTTCAATTCAAACACGCACACGTCTTACGCACACCGAACTAAACGACAGTACGAAAATAATCTGTATATTTCGTCCCATATTCCGGCTCATCCCGTTTGCTCTCTCGGCGAGATCCGAACGAAACGCTATCCTCCATTGTCGGGAGAAAGTCGCTTTTCGCAGTGCATTTGCGTCGCTTTGGAAGGGCGGTCGCGTAAGCTACGGGCCACGTGCAACTCGACAACTTGCGCTTAGTTCTTCACGAACTGTGTGGGAGGCTAGTACGCTACATGAATTATACTCTCGAATGTCATGCGCTTTAGAGAGCGCACTGCGAAAAAGCGTTTTTCGCCCGCGAACGAATCATGCGTGTGTAAGTGTTGAGACCACGTGATTTTGACAGTAGCATCGTTTTAATGCAGGTTATTTGTGTATTAACAACAGAGCTATGTATAGTATGTAATAGACGACAGTGAAAGTGTTTTATTTTGCTGATAACGAACGAATACGATGCAATTTATGAAACAATGACCGTTTGAATTAGAAGATATCGCGACCAGGGTGATTTTTTTGGCGCATTCATAGACAATGGAGTTTTTACGGTAAGTAATATTCATTATCATGGAAATATAGTTTCAATATTGACATAATATAATTTGGAATGTTTACAAGCGCGAATATTTTTATTTTTATAATCTTATACAGTTTATTTTTTAGTTCATCGATTAAAAAATAAGATAAACATATTTTCATTATTAAACTTTAAAGTAGACAGGAAGTTAATAAATCTTATATGTTGTTTTAGTATACATTTTATATAAAAATATTAGAAACATACTGATTGATGTTCTTTATATATTATTTATTTGCAAAATAAATAAATTAATTAGTCCTTTGTACATACCGGCTGGATATAAATTATGTAGAGTATGTATCAGGTCATTTTAATTTCTGTTCTCATTGTTTATGGATGATGTATCCAGTGCGCATGTCCGTTACTATGTCAACAAAAATAACACACAAACCGATCTAGTTTATCTATATATATATATTATAAATGCGAGACAGAACCAGTTTAATTATTTAATAATCAAACAGGTAATTAATTTTAATTTTGGTGGATTATGCAAATTTTGTTTGTTAAAATGGAAAAATATAGTTCTATATTTGATATACGTAAAACGTTTTTAACAATGTACTTATTTTTTTTTACTCCTGATATTTAAATTGAATTAGCGTAAAAAAAACGCTAAGGAGTTTTTTTTTTAAAAACAAAAGATGTTTTCTAAAATCTTTTTTTTGTATGTTTTATTTTATGGCCAGTGTTGTATTATATTGTTAAAACAATATTGAGTGATAGTATGTTATGTTCGCATGGATTTTGATAATGTCACATCGGTTGATTATAAACAGACGCTATTATCTTTGCATGATATGTATAGGAGGCGACCGCACTCACTCGTTCCCAGCGCTCCTTGCTCAATAGTTCGAATAATCGATACCATCGGTTGTTGACTCGCTCGTAGATTTAAACAAACATACTCGATTTAACAATCAAAATCTTGATTTGAATCTAAACATCTCTTTCGTATTTATTACAGCGGTGTCATCTAAATTGTTAAGCGTTTTATGAACGTTCGAAATTCAATTACATTTTTTTATTTAAATATTTTTATTAATTTTCTATCAACTGCCAGTAACCTGCGTAGAATTCTTATCGCAAGCAATCTTATTAATATTATAAATGCTAATGTTTAGATAAATAGATGTTTGTTGGAGCATCAGTTCGAGCATCTCAATGATAGCATAGATTTTGGCATACATGTAGAACATAGTCTGGAAGAAGACGTAGGCTAATTAGTTTTTTTTTTAATTTCGCGTGGACGGAGTCTTGGGCGACAGTTAGTAAGTTATATTTCTTTTCCATTTCAAAGAGTTTGTGATGTTAAAAAATATTTTAATTGAATGCATAGCTTAAGATAGCTTCATTATTAATTTAAAACGTATACTAAACTAATTCGAAACACGTCACTTGCTGATCAAGAGAGATGATGTCAGGGTATTTTTGCTAAAGTCTATAATTAAACGCGCAATAACGGTCGGCTGTGAATAATTGCGCGGGCGCTGGATTATTCGATATTACTGTCATAATATCGTACTGTATGCGTGTTTGGAATGTACAGAGATGAGAAGGACGTAACACATTCAATGCTAATAAGATTTTTATGTACAAAATGATAAGGACAAGAAATCGGTGGAAGAAATATTATTTATTTGGAATTTTATTAATACAGACCTGTCCATTATAAGTCAGCGTTCTTCACTTTAATATATTTAATTTTATTTATGTATAAAAATATAAATCAATACTAAATAACTCGATTGATTTATTTTTAAGAGTCAAAATGTTACCTCAATTTTTGATTCTATCAAACGTCAACTTACAAGAAAATCAGTATTTAATTAAATTAAAATAAATAATGATAATAAAAGACTATCGTTATTAGAAGGATTTTAATGTGACCTTACCTTTACAATGCGCATGTCTGTGAAGCTTCACCAAACACTCAAAACACTCAGACTAATAGCGTGGCTTTATACAGCAGTACAAGGGTTGAGGGGAACCTTGACTCAAGAGTACCAAACATGACCGAAATACGGCTTTTATGGTAAGAATGTATTTTAAGGAACAGCTACGATAATGTGTTTGAATATTTTTGGTGCCTAAAAGCGTAATTTGTTTTTTTTATTAATCTTTGAATTATAATGATAAGCTTAAAGTATTTTATGCCAATAATAAGAAAATAGTTCATAATTTTATACATTATTGTTCAGAATCCTTTGGCGCGAATACGTGCTTTCGTTACAAAATCCAGTGTCAGAATGAATAGTGAGGGGACAAAAACGTCGACATTTTAGTAAGGATAGTGTTGCGTCAATACACTGGCATATTTTGGGAATTTTTTTCTAACTAAACTAAAATGTATATTGTAATGTGTGTTAAATAATTATCATAATCACTTATGATAATACTGAAGCGTCAATAGCCTAATGGTTAAGGGTACGGAATTCCGAACACGAGGTCGGGGGTTCGAATCCCGTCATTCGACTATTGTCGTAAACCACATCCTGGCACAAGCCTAGAGCTTAGTTGGAACCGTAAAACAAATTTTAGTAAATTTACAAAAAAATCTGCTAATATTTTTATTAAAAAAATAATTAAAAAATCAATATTAGGCCTTTCGTACCGACAACGATGCACGCGCTCCGTACACACAATGTTAGATCGTCGACGCAAGTCACCTACTCGGTAAATTTTGGCGACTATAGAACAAATGTCGGCGATGTTTGCCCAGTGTACATAGGTTTACAATTTATTCCGTACGTTCGAAGATTTGCCTTGTGTACTTCCCTTACAGTTATGACTTCTTGGATATAAATGAAATTTAATTTATCATACTTATTACAAGTTAAATATATTTTGATAACACAAGGTAATAAAAATTTTATGAAGTTTAATAAATCAATATATTAATATTATATCAATATATTAATATAAAGAAAACAGTCTATAACTTATGGTAATAAAATGAAACAAACACAAACATAGTTGAAGCGAGCGAACATTCCTGGATCACAATGATTCATTGAATGTGACATGGGCTTTAAATTATTATAAGAAGCAAGGATACAGTGTGAACGTGTGCTTGGGTGGTCCCTATCCTAACTGAAGACCCTGGATCGAATAATAAGCGTAACCTGTACTTGATTGACTTAGGTAATAAAAGAAAAAATATGATATGAAGTTGTCAACTTCTGACTAAATTTGACCTGGTTCGTCCGTCTGTTAAAAAAGGCGTGGTTCTCACTCGCGAGCGCGAAATAATTCCAGTCCCACTTACCCTGAAGAAGAGCCTCAGGTGGGTCAAAACTAGTAGATAGTTTAAAAACAATAGTATCATATTAATTAGATTCCTTAGGCGCAAACGGCGCGCTTTCATTACAAAGTCAAGTGTCAAATTAGTGAGGGGACATAAACGTCGACATTTTAGTAAGGCTAGTGTTGTGTCAGTACACCGACACAGTGTCGGATTTTCTTCCAAACAATAAAAACTTATATCAACCCATCAGAATATTAAAAAAAAGATACAACGTAATTCCTAAATAACTACTGGGAATAGGCTCTAAGAAAGAAAATATATGTACATACGTTACCGATAATAATAAAGGTTATAGCTATTTGTACATAAGTTAACATTAATAATTTCGTTGAGCATCAAACATTGGATCGTCTAGTAGTAAAGTAAGCCGCTAAGCCGCTTGGACAAGACATACAGGCTATAACGCAGTATTATTATCATAATCACCATTGTACGCTCCACCACAAGGCCGCTCCCTCAGTCATTATAAGAAAGAATGCAAGCCGCTCTCACTGCAACCTTGTGCCATAGACTTAACTTTTTTAACAAAAATAAAAATTATACGAACCTAGTAAATCACAAGACCTCAAACCTGTTAGCCATATTGTAAAGTAGTTTGTTGACTTCCATCTATGACTTCAATTAATTAAATTAAGTGAACAAAAAGTTAGTCAATTAAATATCCGTATATGTTAAAATCTTTTTTGTTAGAATACTGCCGAATACAGCATATTTAATATTGTTTTTTTTTCTTATAAAATAAGAGGGTTAACGAGCAACGGGAATACCGAAGTGTTAATGACGCCACTGGACATCTGCAATACCAGAGGAACCGCAAACGCGTAGCCGGCCTTTGAGATGATACTCTCACTTCTTGACGGACCCTTATTCGTAGTGGTTATCTGATTTTATGTCCCTAAGTTTCCAGTTAATCCCAACATAGTATCGTTTGATATAACTATTGTAAGGCAAGACAGACACTTAAAACAGTCAACTAATGTTTTTCACCGTTTGCCTCAGACTACTAAAGATATTCTTTTTCAAGGAATTAAGGAGTTTTGCTTATTATCAAGGGAAAGATCTGTTCGCTTTGTGAAAATAAAACTTTTAATAGTCGATTCCCTAAGTCAGTTAAATTTGTTAAGCAATTTTACTGTCCGTAATAAAATGTGAAACGTCCATTACTAATTTATATAATTAGTTTTTTCCTCTTTCATTGTGAAACTTTTTTCTGTCGAAAAGACCCTCGTTACAAGATTAATTAGGTACGTTTGTTTAAATATAGATTTTGTTACATCTTTTATTATTTTTTTAACAGCAATTAATCTGTTAAAGGTGTGTTTGATTTACCTATCTTTAAATATAAAAACGTCGGTGAGTCAGTATAAGCAATTGACTTGCTATCTTCAGGTCTTGGGTTCGCATCCCGCCGTGTGTTTTTCAATTTCCGATTATATGTACCGACGTTCTTAAGGTGAAAGAAAACATCGTGATGCCACCTGCACATATCTAAGAAAAATGTGTCAAGTCAACCAACCCGCATAGGGCCAGCGTGGTTGACTATGTCATCCCTAACTTAGAGTAGGCCCCGAACCATTCAATAAAGACGTATAGTGTGCTGATGATGATGATGATGAAATATAAAAGATCTACTAATAATTAGTAATGACTACAAACGGTTA